AGGCTATAAAATAGTCTGTTAGACTTCCAAAATCTGGCCAGTCATCAGATTTATCCAGAGTAGAGGCAAAGTTTTAAAATACACTTCTCTAGCCAGTTATGGTGGTGCTGCCAGTATCCTAGCAACTCAGGAATCTGAGGCAGGAGGATCACAAGTTCAGGGCCAACCTCAGCAACTTAGTGAGACTGTCTCATAATGAAAATTTAACAAGCACTGGGGATGTAGTTTGGTGGTAGTGCACCCCTGGATTCAAACCCCAGTACCTAATAATCGTAGCAGTACTAGTAATAGTGATGCACATGCCTTAGCCCACACCATCTAAGTCATCTCTTGGTGAACTCTAGACTCCTGTGGGAGTAAAGCCTCCCAGCAGTCACATGACCAGTCAGGCAAACAAAATGACTCTTTATTTCATGAATCAAATCATGCATTTAAGTTGGTCAACAATACAAAAGCACAGCAGGCTCTTTGAAGTCACAGGATTCCTAAGTGACTTTGCTGTTGACGGAGACATTTGCAGGTTTCAATCCACGGTCAGTTGGCTCCGTTACTCTGGGCCTGAGGTGCGGCGGAACATCGTGGCAGAAGGACACGCAGAGGAGAGCTATTGGCTCATGGCAGCCGGGAAGCAGAGAAGAGCCTGACACAATCAACCTTTAAGAAGATCAAGTCCATTTGTCCTAGGGTTTTAGGCCATGATCACTTGGCCCTGCTGCTCTGGCCTTGTCATGGCACTGTATGTTGAGCAGGACACAAACATGAAGCAGGAGGCCTATTCACCCCACAGCAGCCGGGAAGCAAAGAGATGAGAGGCAGCCAGGGAACCTCCAATGACCTCACCTCCTCCCATGAGGACCCACCTTCTAAAGGTTCTACCACCTCCCAGTGTCACAGCCTGGTGATGAATCCTTCACCACACGGACCCCTGTGGGACACTTCTAAACCACAGTAATACGAACAACACGATCCCATTTGGAGGGAAGTACGGTATAGTGCAGCGGTTCTCAACCTTCCTGGCCTCAGGAGCTCTTTACATTCAGACATTACTAAGACCCCCAAAGAACCTTTGTGTCACACACGCGCGCACACACACACACACACACACATGTTCTGTATATTGATCGATACATAGATGTTTACTGTACTTGAAAATAAAATTTTTTATGAACTTATTTAAAAAACAACATCCATTTTACATTTTTAAAAATGTATTTTATGAGAACAAACTATATTTCCATTGTCCCCACCAAATTAGAGAGTGGTATTGTTTTACATTTCCACAAATCTCTTCAATGTCTGGCTTACAAGATGGCAGGCAGCTCCTCAAATCAGTTTCTGTACTAGAGCCCAGGTATCTGGTTGACAGGGCTACCATAACACAGTACTGCAGACAAGGTGGCTGCAACAACTGAAATTTATTTTCTCACAGTTCCGGAGGCTAGAAGTTCAAGATCAAAGTGTTAGCAGGTTTGGTCTCTCCTGAGATCAATCTCCGTGGTTTGCAAATGGTCACCTTCTCACTGTGTCCTTACGTGGTCTTTTTATGCTTGTACTAGTTCTGCATTTCTTGTGTGTCCCAATTTCCTCTTATAAGAAGAGGAAACTTCAGTCCCACTGGATTAGGGCCACCCTAACAGCCTCATTTTAACTTGATCACCTCTTTAGAGACCCATTTCTAAATACAGTCATAGAGAGACTCATAGAAAGACCACATCTTTTATTTTTTCTTTTCTTAAAAATAAAAAAAAATCTGTCTATATTAACTGTTACTATTTGTGAAAAATCACTTCACTTCTCATATTTGATATGTGCCTAAAATGCAAAGTATAGCTGGGCACGGTGGTGCACACCTGTAATCCCAGCAGCTCAGGAGCATCAAAAGTTCAAAGCCAGTCTCAGCAATAGCAAGGCACTAAGCAACTCAGTGAGACCCTGTCTCTAAATATAATACAAAATAGGGCTGGGGGTGTGGCTCAGCGGTCAAGTACCTCCGAGTTCAATGTCTGGTACCTTTCCCCCCAACAAAATAAAAAAAAATGCAAAGGAATAGTTCTACCTCGGGGTGACAAAACTTATTTCTTTTTTTAGTTGTAGTTGGACACAATACCTTTATTTATTTATTATTTTATTTATTTATTTTTATGTGGTGCTGAGGATCGAACCCAGTGCCTCACACATGCTAGGCGAGTGCTCCACCGCTGAGCCACAACCCCAGCCTCAAAACTTATTTCTTAAGCAACATTTAAATTAAATCATATACTGACAAAAACACAAAGCACAAACTTGATGATTATTTACAAAGTGAATTTATTTTGTTTTAAAAGTACATTTAAACCCAGAGCAGTGGCACATGCCTGTAATCCCGGAGACTCTGGAGACTGAGGTAGGAGGGTTGCAAGTTAGAGGCCAACCACAGTGAGTTAGCAAGGCCCTGCCTCAAAATAAAAAAATAAAGGTCTGGGCTGGGATTATGGCTCAGTGGTAGAGCACTTGCCTAGGACAGGTGAGGCCTGGGTTTGATCCTCAGCATCACATACATACAAACAAACAAACAACAAAAAAAAAAGTCTGAGGATGTGGTTCAGTGGTTCAATCCTCAGTACCAAAACAAACATGAGAGAGAAAAGAACATTTTAAAAAAATTTTTAAAGCCATTAATAAAACCCCTAGCAGTCAACTTTCCTCACTCCTACCAATCATGGGCTTTCATATCATACTCCTATAGTATAAAGGTGGAATTTATCTGAGGGGTGTTCTGTTGACTCAATATACTTCTGGTGCTATGAGGTTCCCTATAGCGCCAGGAAAAGAGCACAGGGCAAGAGTTTGTATTGTTAGATCATCAGGACACTGGATTCCACTCAATGCCCAGTTTAGGATACTCTGGACATCAATTAAAAAGAAATCATTCTAAGTAACATTTATAATGTAACCACCATGACTGTGAAGTTCACTTAGGGTAATTCACTGTGTCCTTTCTCCCCCAAATCAATATTATTCCCCATCACAAGGTTCCTTGTACAGCAAAACAGATTCTGCGATACTATTGCAGTGACAGATTTTTATTTCCCCCTCTTCTTCTTTAAAGAAATGAGGGTAACTAGGCATGGTGTTACACACCTGTAAACCCACGTACTCAGGAGGCTGAGGCAGGAGAATGGTAAAATCAAGGTCAGCCTTGGCAATTTAGTAAAGCCCTGAGTTAAAATATAAAAAGGACTGGGGATGTAGCTCAGTGGTATAGCACCCCAAACCCACTACCAGATACACACACACACACACACACATACACTTGCTCTTTACCATTGTTGCTTTTTCATAAAAGTTTTACATCAATAGTAGCTGTTACCCTTCCATAATAGCAGTTAAAATTTATTTCCTTTAATGTTACATTGACTCAAAATCTGTATACGGACTTTTAGAAAGAAAATTTAAAAGATAAAATATTTTTCCTAGTCTTCCAATAGCAGCATACAAATTCTAGAAAAAACAATAATACACAAGTATATATGTTCCACTAACCAATCTGAGCAATGTCACCATGTCATGCAGCCTCTAGAAACTCCACGGTACACTCATGAGAAAACGGGAATGAAAAAGACAACTTGTTAAAAAATATTTCATAATACAGTATATGCTCACATGTGTAAGCAATAGTAAGCTCTGGATTATAAAAAACAGATTAAGAATCTACAATTTGGGCTAGGGTTGTGGCTCAGAGGTAGAGCACTCGCCTAGCATGCATGAAGCACTGGGTTCGACCTCAACACCACATAAAAATAAAATAAAGATATTGTGTTCATATAACTAAAAATTAAATATTAAAAAAAAATAAAGGGGCTGGGGCTGTAGCTCAGGGGCAAAGCGCTTGCCTAGCATGCAGGAGGCACTGGGTTCGATCCTCAGCACCGCATAAAAATTAAACTTGAGATTGCTCAAGGTGAAATTATTGGTAATTTCATAAATAAAATAAAGGCATTCTGTCCATCTACAACTACCCAAAAAAATTAAAAAAAGAAAAATTTAAAATTAAAAAAATAAAAAGAATCTACAATTTGGGCTGGGGCTGTGGCTCAGCATAGTGCATTTGCCTGGCATGTGTGAGGCACTGGGTTCCATTCTCAGCACCATGTATAAATAAATAAAATAAAGCTCTATCAACGGGCTGGGGATGTGGCTCAAGCTGTATGTAGCGTGCTCGCCTGGCATGCGTGCGGCCCGGGTTCGATCCTCAGCACCACATACAAAGATGTTGTGTCCGCCGAAAAACTAAAAAAAATAAATAAATATTTAAAAATTCTCTGTCTCTCAAAAAAAAAAAAAAGAAAAAGATCTATCAACAACTAAGAAAAAAAATTAAAAAAAAAATTTACAATTTGACATATAACATTATACTTCCCAATAAAACTCTTTGGTTTCAAAAATTTTTTGCAGTACTGGGGATTGAACCCAGGGCCTTGTCCACCCTACGCAAGTGCTCTACCACTTAGCTACCTTTTTTGAGATGAGGTCTTGCTAAATTGCCCAGGGTGACCTTGAACTTATGCTCCTCCTGAATGGCTAGGATTACATGTCCATCACACCCAGCTTTTAAAATTTTTTTAAAAATTTCCTATAAACGTAAGTCATAAATTTTTGATACCCAAAAAAAGACATCTTAATCCCCAGCCAAGGCTGCCCAAGGGTTTATAAGAGAAGCACTGGGGAGAGACAGGACTGAGAAGGGACACTGAACTCCTAGGTTGCATCACGGCTCAGTGCCATCACTAGGAGCACAAATTGCCATATGGCACCTGACAGTGTAAGGTGAGGTGAATTCTCAATTTAAATAAAAAATGAGTATCACCAGTAGAAAGAGAAGGCCTTTTGGGAAAAACCCGACCTGTGCAGGCACCAATATGTAAGTCCTGCAAGAATGATACAGCTATGTGGTGAAGGAGTAAGGGCAATACTAAGGGAGCCAAATTAAAACTAAGTGACGATACTAACAGAAAACGCAGTTACTTTGCAAATTCATTTATTCACAAATGACCTGTGCAATCCCACTGATAGATCCTTGAATGTGGTTAGACACAGTCCTCACAATGTAGCTCCCCAGACACACAGGTTTGAGACTTACAGAACGGAAAATAAAACTCAAGATTAAGGAAAGAAGAAACGAGGAAGGAGGGGACATGTAGGGAGAAAGACTGTAATGAGGGAGGAGGACTGGAGCTCCCCAGCAGAGCACCTGGGAGGACTGATGGGACAGCTGGCAAGCCATGCTGGGGGCACCCCTCCCTCTGTTGCTCTGCTGAAAGAAGCAGGCGCCTTCTGCTGAGGACATTCTTCCAGCATACTCCGCACAGTCTGCTGATATCATCATTTCCTTGCTGCTGCCCTGAGAAGTAAACAAAAAAGAGCTACAGTACAACCCCACAGGGGGCAGAGGAAGGCCAGGGTGGGGATGGGGCGGAGGTACAGAAACCCAACAAATATTTTAAGGACTAACTTCAAAAGAAAATGGACAGATTTGACAAACTTGAGATTGCTCAAGATGAAATTATTGGTAGTAAATTATGTATGAATGATGGAATATTATTCATCTTTAAAAGGGAAGGAAATCCTGTAATATGAGGCAACCTGTGTGAACGCTGGGAATGTTACACTAAGTGAGATAAGCCAGTCAAAGACAAATACTGAGAATTTCACTTATATGAGATGCTTAGCACAGTCAAAACCATAAGACAGCAGAATGGCAGTTGTTAGGGTGGAGAGTGGGCAATGGGGAGTATGGCTTAATGGTGTAGTTTCAAGTTTTACAAGACTCAAAAGTTCTGGAGATGGTGATGTTTGCACATTATGCATGTATTTAATAACACTGAATTGTACACTTAAAAATGGTTAAGGGCTGGGGTTGTGGCTCAGTGGAAGAGTGCTTGCCTAGCACGCGTGAGGCACTGGGTTGGATCCCCAGCACCACACTGCAAAAACAACAACAAAAAAAAACTAAACAAACAAAATAAAGGTATTGTGTCCCTCTACAACTAAAAATATTTTTAAAAAAAAAATGATTTAAGATTGCTGGAAGTGGTGGCGCATGCCTGTAATACCAGTGGCTTAGGAGGTTGAGACAGGAGGATTGTGAGTCCCAAGCCAGCCTCAGCAATGGCAAAGTGCTAAGCAACTCAGTGAGACCCTGTCTCTAAATAAAATACAAAATAGGGCTGGGGATGTGGCTCTGTGGTTGAGTGCCCCTGAGTTCAATCCCTGGTGCCAAAAAAAAAAAAAAGGTTAAGATTTATGTCAATAGTTTATGTTATATGTATTTTTAAAAATTGAAGAAAAAGAAGAATAAGCTAACAACTACCTTGTGCCCACAACCATCTGGCTGACCATGTGGTGACTGTGGCTGAACATTAAAGGCAGCGGTGAGTCCAGGGGGGAACCACCCAGGGAAATCACCATCCAGAATTCCACCAACACCCCCCCCCCAATTGGCAATTAAAGTGAATACACTCTTCTTCAGCACCTCATAAGATGTTCAGTTTCCAGAGCTTCCCAAGATCCACCTCAGGAGAAGTCAATTTGTCCACAGGAGGCATAGTTTCCAAAGCTGTCTACTGTGAACCTCTGAGAGATGTGAATGGAATTGAGCTTTAGGGAACCAAAGTAGAAGTTCTCAAACAACTGCAAAGGAAGAATTGACAACCCAGAATGAATAAAGAGAATTACAAATGAATATATTAAATATCAGGTTCTCTCTCTCTCTTTTTTTAAATTTTTTTTTATTTTAAGACAGTCTGCTAAGTTACCCACAGGGTCCTCAAACTTGTGGTCCTACTGCCTCAGCCTCCCTAGTAGCTGGGACACAGCCATGGGGCTCTCCTGTAAAAACACCAAACCAGAATAATAGCAACAAACCTCTCCTGACTTTCTTTTCAGTATTTATTCTGAATAATTATCTTGGAGAGGAGTGAGAAAAGAACAGCCAGTTCTTCCCTGTGATTAATCCTAAAGTCTCCCCTGGCAAAATGCACCACAGAAAGGGACCTGGAAAGTCAAATAACTTCTCTATTGAGCAGAAATGACCAAGAACTTGCAACAAACATCAAGAGGCACGCCCAGATTCAAAGGGCCTGACAAAGTTGCTTCTCACTTGCAGTTACTCACCAAGTAAGACTCCTTAGTAACTTATTTTTGCTGCAGTAAGGATAAAACTTGATACAAGGCGTTGCTTTCCCTTGTCAACTACAGTTATTAGGAGCAATGACTAACGTAAATACAAGATGAGGATCCTGACCCACAAATGATTTGGACAGTCCAGTGAGGGACACAGAAAACAACCAGAGGGACATTCCACTGCAGGACATAACAAGGGCAAAGATAATTATTTATTAAAAACCTTTAACTAGATAGGGATTCAAGCCAGCATCTTCAGGTAAATGCTCTTTATTACAATTCTCTATAAAAGCTTTCAAATGTGTTCGAAGAAGGGAGGATCTATTCTCTAAGAGGGACCTGACCTTGTGATTAGCACATTTATAAGGCAGAATCCAAAATGACATCAGAAAATGTCACAGAAAAATGACACAGTGCTTGGATAATGAGTGTCAAAGAATAAAGATCTTACCTTCTGTTAGGATGCAAGAATTGCTCTTTCTTAAAATGTCAGTAAGATCCCAAGAAAGTCAGCCTTTCTCCCTCCCTTGCTTCTGGTGCTGGGGATCAAACCCAGGACCTTGAGCACACTAAGTACACATTCTACCACTAACCTACACTCCTGCCCTAAAAATGCCTTTCAATACACGTACAAACAATGCTTGAGTGGAACCTGGGGTGGGGCTTTGCACACTGACAAGTGACCATCTCTTCACTTCTGATTTATACCACCTCCCATACTCATGAACTTCAGTCACTGTCACCTCTTCCTGCAATTAATGGCCTAGAAACATGCCTGAGGTTCATTAAAGGCTAACTTTACAAAGCCCAGTAAATATTGATTCTTCAACATGACATCAACTTGACCTCAAAGATCTATTTGGAGGTTGTGTGCTGCAATGTCTTGTTTTTCAGAAAGGTGACCAGCTCTCGCCTATATTGATCTACACAATTAACTTCTCTTCCTGGCTCAGGCAGCCTGTTCAAACCATATCCACCCTTTTCTGTAAAGGAATTCAGGAATCTGAAAGAGTTATCTGCTAATCCCTTTGCTGAACATTAATTTGAAGTGAAAGCCACGTCAATGAGACTTGACAGATTTACGACTTTGCAAACTGAAGCTTTCTAGGTACAGAAAAGATATAACCAAAGAGGCAATAAAAGACAAGACAAAACAAAATTAAAAGTGAGCTCATAGTACTTTCAACAAGTTACTTTTAAAGGATTGACAGCCTATGGGTCCTCTACCTTCTCTCTTGGCCTATGTTTCCAAGTAATGGAGATGCCACAGGGAGGAGCTAGAAGTGACCTACCTGTGCCTTGATTTTGCCTTATGTGCGTGACCTTAAAACAACATGATCTGCCAAGGAGAATCTCTTGCTTCAGGTTGAAAGGAAATAGTAAAACAAGTTGATAATAAAGGTAACTGGATGTGATATCAACACAGTATTTACAAAAAGTATGAAAAAGCTGAACATAAATTCTCATACTTCATTAAGGCCAACACAAGCTGTGAAAAGAGTGCTAAAGTCGGATTCTAAACATTCATGTGACCAAGTGGGAAGGGTATGTCACTTACTGTACCAACCCCATAGGGGTAAAATATCATAATGGGCAGAAATCCAATAAGAAGAACAAGTAAAAGTGTCTTATAAATACTAAAATGCTACTGAAAATTAGAAAATTTCTAATAATATTTTTGGTGGTATTGGGGATTGAACCCATGGGTACTAAACCACTGAGCCACAACTCCAGTTCCCACCCTCCCTTTTTGAGACAGGATCTTGCTAAGTTGCCAAGGCTGGCTTCAAACTTTTGATCTTCCTGCCTCAACCTCCCAAGTTGCTGGACTTACAGGTATATGCCTAGAGATCTCTCAGCAGTCCTTAACCTTGTATTTACCTTTAAGCTGCCATCTTCTTTCATACCTTTTGATAACATTACATCAAATGGATTTGTTATATAGAAGCCCCCACGGCAGTGCCAATCTTCATTTTAGCCCTTCCTATCTCTGCGTTCTTTTTTTTTTCTTTTTTTTAATTGGTTCTTTTATTTATACATGGCAGTAGAATCTATTTTGATATATTTTTATTTTTTTATTTTTTTTTTCTGCGTTCTTATTCTCTCTGAATAGTTATGATGACTTTGTAACAGATTCTTTAGAAATAATTTTCAGTTATTTTCTTGTTTAATCATTGTTATATTTTTAGTGGTAAGCCTTCCTTTAAGTTCTATCAATTATTTCCAATGACATACTAGACTATAAGCCCTGTGGAGGGAGGAGCTGAATCTCACTATATGCTGTAATAGTATGACCAATAAATAAGATCAATAAGGGCTGGGGTTGTAGCTCAGTGGTAGACTGCTTGCCTGGCATGCAGGAGGCTCTGGGTATGATCCTCAGCACCACATAAAAATAAAGGTATTGTGTCCACCTAAAATAAATAAATAAATACATAAATACATAAAAATAAAGACACTGTGTTTATTTACAACTAAAAATTTTTTAAAAGATCAATAAATATTGTTGGGGGAAAATGATCAATAAATATTTGTTGGGCAAAATGAGAACTAATGCTATCCTTATCTGTGAAGGACTCAGATACAGATACAAAGATGTACACACAGGTGTTTGTGTATATCTATATGTCTAAAAGAGAAACAATAATATTGTAATGTCTAAACTGGATTCAAAGGTTTGATTTATAGGTTACTATCAAGGAATTCCTGAACAGAACTAACCAAAATAATATTACCTCTAATCAAGGGAGGAGGGGGAATATATTTCAATTCTAACTATTTGCCAAGAAAGAATTTGTAGTAAGTAATGCAAATTTTATGAAGTCCTTCAAATTTCTACCTGTGTCTTATCTGTCAAAAACCCAAGTTTCTTTCCTAGCTCTGGTTCCCAATGTGGAATATTACTGAGCACTTCATGTTAAGCATTTTCATGCAGAGGCAAATGATATGGTTCTGTCTCCCAGATCTTTGGGAGACAGAGTGTGAATCAGAAGAAAGGAATGCTGATGTGGGTATGTTCGCCTTATGTAAAGTCACTGAGTGCTTTTCTTTAGGATCTGCATGCTTTTCCATATGTGTGTTCCATTTCAATAAAAATTTACCTAAAAGAATATTACAACAGAGATTTAGTATGAGATGAGAAGTTCAGGCACTCAACAAATACACCAGAGGCAAGGAAACAATGGACGCCGAGGGCTGACGCCCCTAGGAAAGACAGACTGGAACTGAGCTGGGCCTCACGACAAGTACTGGATGGAGGTTGGAGGAATGAAGGCACAAATGGGCACTGTGGGCCAGGCCAAGTAAACAGTCTAGATGTTTGAAGGAGTCCTGCAAAGAGGCAGTGAGAAAAACCCAAGGAGGGAGAAACAGATAAAGGTGAACCCTGAAGGTCAGGTTCACAAATTAGACTTCATCCTAGCTGGTGAAAATCCACCAAAGGTCTTTCAGTAGGTTGATGAAAAGGATGTTTAGGGAGATTATCCTGGTATTGTACACTGTGCTGCTTGGAGAAGGAAACAAGGGAAGGGCAAGGAGACCATGGCAGTGGCTCAGTCATGAGGCAGATGGTGTCTCTCTTGACTAACAGCCGCAAGGCAAAGGCTGGAGCAAACATGAAATCCTAGAGAGGAAGCAGAGAATCCTAGGTAACTTTAAGACAAGGAAGAGCAAGGGAAAATCAGCCTAAGTGGAGGACAGCAACAGAGCATTTCTGAGAAGGAGCTATTTTATGGGGGAAATAAAACGCAGGTCTGTTTATACACCACGGCTGTATCTCTAGCTGTATGTGCTCCCAGCTATGATATGATAGACTGAGAATAAGTGTTAAAGACATGAAATCTGAGCACAGTTAAGTGGAAATATATCATCATAAAGAGTTTTACAACTGTCCGCTTTTTTTTTGGTGAATTGTAGTTCTTTATACATTAGAGAAATGAACCCCTTGTTTGTGTTCCAAATTGCAAATATAGATTCCCCCAGTTTGTCATTTATCTTTTTGACTTTGCTTATGATGTTTACCATGTCAATTTAAATTTAAATTTTTACAAATTCACAGTTTTCATAACACAAGGTTTTTAAAATAAAGTGACCTAATGCCAATACTGTTATATATTAAAATATAAAGGTGAGCCATAAAAATGTATTAGGACTGACAACAGCACTAATAAAATATGGATCACAAGAGCCAGCATTTATGAGCAAGCCCGTGTGCCGGGTGTCATGCTGAGGACACTCCATGAAAGCCTCACAACTGTTAAGAGGCAGACGCTACTATGAACCCACATTTTATAAGTGAACCTGTGGTTTGGAAGGCACTCAGCAAGTTCAAAGGGTTCTGAATAGACTGCCCTCAATACACACTGTGGCGTCTGAGAGAGCAGCAGGAGCAGAAAGGTCTTTTTTGCCTTCCACTGTTCTTCTCCCCTCTTTGGAGAGATGCCCTTTCCAGATGAGGAGAAAAGAATATCCTTATCTGTGAAGGACTCAGATACAGATACAAAGAAGAA